ACTGAATTCTTTAAATTTGATATCGTCGCAATCAGTCGGGGCTGTTCCGATAAGGACGGATTGAGTTCACCAACGGCCACTCCCCGCTGGTTGTTGTCTCCCTAATTCGATCCCTGACCAATCACCATCGGTCCAATCACCGCCCTTACTGACCCGCCCCGACTGACTGCGACGTTATAATCTAAACATGATGAATTTGTGCATTGCGTGACGTGAGTTTCAGGAATGAACTGGCACTACTACTTGGAAAATGCCTAACACTTTGAGTTGTCCGCAGTGACTACAGTAGTTAATGTGATGTGTGCTGTTTAGGGTGCCACAGTTCGAAATCAGGATGAGCGCATCGTGATTGGACGGGTTGTGAAAGGAGGAATCGTTGAGAAAACGGGATTGCTCAAGGAAGGTCAGTCTTCGTGAATCTGACAACCGTGGAACCACACTTTGAGCCAGGGCCCACCATGGCGCTGAAGGGATTCATTTAGAATTTCTCAGGCTGCGTTCATACATTCCCTCAGCGTCCGAGCGTCCCGCAGGTCAGCGACTAGGACAGCATAGATACCGATCTAGCGTCTGCCAGCGACCAGCAGTGTTCGGCAGTGAAGAGTGTGGGGCGATAGGAGGGTAGCAGACAGCTGGCGCCCTACGTTCGCTCCTTACTCTCTACCAGTCTGCTATTGGTTGCTGGTTGACGCTAGCAGGCGTTAGATCGATATCTACATTTTCCTAGTCGCTGACGCTGCCGGACGCTCGGAACGCTGGTGGACGCTATTGGTCGCTGGTGGACGCTGCCGCAAAGTATGAACGCAGCCTTGAATCCAGCCTGAAGAGTGTGGCATGCCCTGCTATGCGTCCTATTGCTTTTCTCAGTTGCTGACATTTCTTCAATGTTTAGGTGATGAGCTGCTGGAGATGAATGGAATAGACCTGCGAGGCAAAAACGTCACAGAAGTCTGCGAATTACTTGTGAGTCTGATTACTGCTATTTATATGCGAGTCCTTAGGAAAACTTTTCCAGAAGCTAGAGGTCGCACTGGGAACATCAATGTTGGAAAACTGTTAGGTATCCCTTAACAAAGTGAAACCTTGACAAAGAGTATAGTCAAAACCACTGATGGATGAGTTCTGCGAAAGCCTACGCTGAACTTGGTATTCTGAGGCAAAAGTTATCCTATCAATCAGGGGAGCGAAGCACAAACGCTTTCGAAATTTCTATGATGGAGATGAAAAGGCTCCGTTCCACTGTAGACATGAAATCAAGAGCCGTTCTTTGTATTTCCACATGGAAACGGTGAGCGGCTTCCGGAATCGTACATCTCCCTCTTTCCCCCTCATTCCCTTGACCTTGATGCTCCGACTTCTTCATCTTCTCACCTTCTCCATTCGTGGAGTACTTTAGCACCTCCTATTCTAGCCTTCATTCAAATCCCCTCACTACACAATCGAAAGGAAACGGCATTCGCCCACACCAGGAACTCCGCAGTTTTCACTCCACTAAATAATTAGAGAGCATTTGCCTCTTTTACTAATGCTACCTCTTCTACGATCTGAGCTCTATGAAATTATGTTTCGTTCGTCTGCAAACGAAAAAGCTCAGTTTGGCCTTTGCACTCGGTCTTTCAATCAACAAATGCAAGCGAAAATTTGTGGTCATAGCAAATTGAATAAACCTAAATATCGGGAAGGTTCCTCCTAAACCGAATTACAGACACATTCGAGGTGAAAGTTACTGAAGGCCTATGTAGCATTGTGCTACTTGAAGTGGGGTTTCTGTTATATCATCTTTCGCCTACGTAAGCTTTTTCTATCGTTGTCTTGAAAACACGGTCCGCGATCAGGTATAGAAGTTGAAAATATGGCGTCGGGAGGGTAGTGTGGTCCGCGACGAACAACCTTGTACCGGTTTCGCGGCAAAAAAATTGTAAGGGAGGGGCGCTATAGCGCAATATAGGTGACGCCTCCTTTTTTCCAGTGACTCCGCCTCCAGACTCCGCCTTCAAGGCCCGCCTTTCAGTGAAAAACGAAGCTGCAGGACGAAAAAGCATGAAAATCGTCACTTGTACGGTCGTAGAGTTCTTATCGGGGAATCAGCTGTGCAGATGAGGGCGTAGTATTGCGTGTGAATTGACTGGGCACGTGCAAACTGTGGTCGGAATGGGATTTCCGTAGAATCATATTTTTTTCTGCTATCTGTTCCCCACTATCGCGAAGTCTACTCAACTGTGAGTCTGATTAAGTACTATACAGGGGGGGGCCAAAAAAAAGTCATTTCGGCCGAGCCACATATCAACGAAGTTTTCGCAGCCCAGACAGGGGAAGTGGATATGAGTACCAGGGTGGAAGATACCCAAGATCTTCCTCTATAAGCTGGAGCACGCTGCCGCCAATCGCCTTCATGTACGCCAAAATATGAAGTCATCTCCAGTCGCGGCCTGACTGGAGAACACCTTTGGAATTCACGTCGCCTCCAAACAGCTGCGAAACTTCTTGAATGAAGTCATCCACAGATAGCTACCTGGAGTACTCTTGATCTGCAAGACCTCCCACATCGAGCAGCTACGGCAACGTCGCTACGGTCTAGGACATCATCTTCACCGTATTCGCCGAGGCGCGAGTTGATGGTATGGACCGGGGTACCTGGAAAGGGAAGACCGATATTTTCTTTGTAGACCCCGACTGAAGGTGAGCGCTGGCGGTTACATCAAGCACTAGCAGAGAAGATACTCCCCACATGTTGTCCCTCGTACCTTCTTGGAGACCGTGTACTGCTACAGGTTTTGGTGCCACCACATGGAATCGAAGGGTTTTGGAAAAACTCTCTCCTACTTCGAATGAAAGGGCGCTTCGTACCTGAAGATATAGTAATGCATATTGAAGTATGCCCCCTGACCTGAATCCCCTCAATTACCTGGTTCGAGCGGAGTTCGATAGGGTGGTCTACGGTGGCGGAGAAATCGACTACCTCGCTCAACTCCGGTACCCACTCACTTTCGCGCGGCCGAATCTCTCGATGGCGCTCCTCCAGAAGGCTGTGGCGGAGTATCATTATAGTATTTAATGTGCTCTTTAATATGGTAGTAAAAATGTCCGATAAAAATTTAATAAAGTGTAACTTATAGCGCCTTGAAAGTCATGGAGGCAAAATGACTTTTTTTGGCCCCCCCTGTATATGCAAAACCCCTAATCCCACTCATCTACGCAAGCACGAATGATCGCCGGATTTTGCCTTTAAAGGCACTTGGCACGATGGTTTCCTACTTCGCCTAAAATGCTAGTAGGGCGCTGTATAGTGGGGGAAATGGCGAAAGAACGGAGTTGAAACGGTCCTGCAAAGAAAAGCCTCCGTTCTCAGTGACTTGAAAATCGATTTCGGACGAGTTTCCCGTAGGCATCTTACCAATCACCGCTACCGAAGATACGGCATATGTGTACCCATGTATGCATGCAGCATCACGGCCGCTTCATACCAATCCCTTCGCTTCATAATTTGCTTAGCAAATGAATGAATACGAGCGTCAGGAACGGTCGTCCATTTGTGGGGGCAGTCCCGGGCGTGGCGGGCGTTTGGGACGTAAAGTTGTGGCTTGATAGGGCCCTTATAAGGGCACCTTCCTCGGGAAACCGCTATGCAGCGCCTGCCCAGGGTCGCGGAATTCTATCCTGCCAGGAGTATTGATCCTAGTCGTCTTGGGGATTTATCGTGCCAACTGCCTTTAATACCGACAATATTTGATTGGGAGGCGGAGCATATTGTTGCTAGGGCTCCCACGTAGCAGCGTTCGAGACGTTCAATCATTTGATTACACACTGGCTGTCTCCTCTTCTTACAAAATCCTTCACTCCCTTCTCTAGCTGCCTAGGCAGGGGGCACAGGAACGACAATGTACGATTTTAGTCGAACGAATCGCCCAAATTATTACAACAGTGCCAGGCAGGAGCACATCACTAGTTGGGGATTTTAGTCGAGACCCCCTTTTTTTAGGAGATTGGTGCGACCTCCCTGGTTCCCTCCTCATCGAGCTATTGAGCTCGGGGAGGAGGTAAATAGCACATGTGAAGTACTTACATTTCTTAGATTTCCCAGCTTCCTGCCACTTTTTCCGGGCACGCACGAAAAGTTCAGGAAACCTTCTTCAGAAGCTCAGGAGAAAAATACGACCCACCCCTCCCAATAAGGAACAAATGCGGCTCCCCCTTTGCAACGTCCGTGAATACAAGAAAAATCAACTATCAAAATAAATTTTTCTGAGCTCAAATACGACATCCCTTCTCGAGCGACCAACTACGACCCCTTCACATGCTCCCAACCGAAATCCCGCTATACGAAAGAGTTCGCACTTGTTCGCCCACGGTCTAGTTCAGACGGTAGTGTCAAGCAGACATGATCTCTTCAAGTACATCTATCGCGTGAAAACACTAAAGGAATTGAAGATCATCCGAAAAAATGTCGTAAACTAATTCTTTTGCAGCGAACGATCTCAGGCGAAGTTCGATTTGTGGTATCTTCGCCTGCGGAATCTCGAAGGAAGACAACGCCATCTTCATCCAAAGTCAAGCATATGCGGGCCTTATTCGACTACGACCCTGAGGTGAGCTGCCGTCTCGGTTTTGAAATATTCCATTTCATTGCGGTAGGTGATAATACTTGATTCATTCCTATTGCTTCTTCAGGACGACATCTACGTCCCGTGTAAGGAGCTGGCTTTGAAATTCCAACGCGGTGACATTCTGCACGTGCTGAGTACGGATGACGAAAATTGGTGGCAGGCGTATCGAGAAGGTGACGACCACACTCAGTCACTTGCTGGCCTCATTCCGAGCTCCAGCTTCCATCAACAGTCAGTTTCGCGCTTTCGTTCCGTCATGGTCCTTTGGAAATTGTTCACTCAGGGTCGTCTTATACATGGACGAGATTGAAAGGGATGCTATGCCTAAATGCCGAACTGAGTCAAAGAAGAAATTGCAAGAGGTTCGTGAGGGGGATGCCATCAGATCGAATTAATTCAGCTGAGATTACCATTGTCTTTCAGGTCATTCGAACGCTAGGCCGGAAATCTTCCAAAGAAATTCATCGCAGTGCTGATGAGCCAATTGGAAACAACATCGGCTACCATTCAGGTAATCTTCTCACCAAAATGGGGATAATGAATTCGATGCCTTCTATTGCGATGCGCCATGAATTACACTCCCACTCAGGGTAATAGTTGCATTTTGTATGCGATCTGGCCTACGTGTGGCAGACACTGCTGGAGACAAGGGTCTGTCGCTCTAGAAGCCTATTTTTTATCCTACCGCATGCGTCCGATACCAACTACTGTAACCTGTAGGGGTGGAATGCTTTGTTGGCCTGGGCGGGATTCGATCTGAGATGTTCCCCCAGACCATTCGCGCGGTAGGCTGTGACAATTGCAGTTACTCTACTCTGCTCACTAAGATCTCAGCATACCTGAAGAATGCAAGTTTCTCCCTCTGATAATCGCCGCGCTTGAGCTCTATAGAGTTTCGAAGGTCGTTGCATCCATGGTGCAGAAAGTAGAGTGGCCGTCTCATTTTCCTACCTAAGTATTCACTCTCTCGCGACACTTTCATAACCACACCCAGACAGGAACATTCGTAACAGCACATCAGTTTTGTCTTGAAATAGCTTATTTGGTGGGCGGAAAATGCTGTCAATCAGGTTATGATATGGAAGTGGTTACCATCAAAAAAGTAGGCTTGGCTACCAATTGGAGGCCCTTGAATGACTGTGGAATACCTTAAAGGCAGCAGTCCGCGGACCGCAAATTGCCGGGACAACCGAGAGCTGCAAATAGCAGCAAAAAAAGTGGCTTAATGTATCTGATTAGACGCGGAAAAGCCAGGTACAAAAAGCAGTACGAAATGTTATAGAGAAAGATAACATAGTGGCTACTAGCTAGTAGCTAGCAGCCGGTGAGGGTCGGCATGGGCCTAAGGGGTGTCCATGGGCCTAATTAGTCAGCTTCTAGCGGAGTTCTTGCCGTTTTTCACATTTTGAAAGTAGCGCAGCCTCAAAAATCGCCTTCCGGATCTTGGTACCATCGCGAAGTTCACATTCTGAGAAGGTCAATAGGCTTTGATTTTATCGGCGGAAATGTGCCTTTAAGGCAGTTTGCACGATGGTTGAGGAAGGGAGGTGGCGTCGGCTGCTGGCAACCGCATTGGTTAAAGGGGTGCGAGAGGGCGTTTGGCCTCCAATGACATTGGCAGCAACCGTCCGCCTCCAGCCGTCGTGCCCACTGCCCTTAACGCATCTCTCACAAGTGAGCCCTGCTCCATCCTATCTGTGCAGCTCTTTGACTTACAGATTTGTTGACGTATGAAGAAGTGGTTCTGCATTTGGCACGCACTGATCGGAAACGCCCACTGGTGCTGTGTGGTCCTGAAGGCGTTGGATGCTTGGAATTACGACAGCAGCTTCTTGAAAGTGATCGAGATCGCCTTGCTGGACCAGTACCATGTTAGTTATATTAACTTATCCATTACGATTCAGCGAGAGGCGGGGAGGGAATGTAGTAATGAAGAGTTGCGTCTGTGGGAGCTCTTGACTTTGTGTAGAATCTGAGCAGATTTGCTTCTGTTGAAACATGACCAACTACATCTATTCAGCACTGAATGACTTTCAGATACGACTCGGCCACAGCGAGACGGCGAGCTCGATGGTATCCATTACCATTTCATTCCGAAGCAGCGCTTCTTGGACGACTCAAAGGTGCAGGCTTTGTTTTGATCACCAGTTTCTCAAATTGGTAGTGTTTCTAAGTTGAGAGTTGGAGTGTACACTCCAAACTCCTTTGTCATTTCATTACCAGGAGGAGAATATTCAGGCCGGCAAATTCGTTGAGTTCGGGGAATATGAAAAGCATCTTACGGAACGGCGGCAGCGGATATTGTGAACGTCATAAAAAGATCAAAAACTTGCGTACTTACACTCAAAGCTGAGGTGAGTTTCAAACATTTTTTCCACGGCAGAAATGATAAACGGTAATAAGACGAAATCCTTTTTCGATGTTCCGGTTCACATCGCAACTTGACCAGAAATCCTGCCAAGAAGTCATCGCAGCGTGCTTGAACGCATAATTTTTCTCCTCAGGAGGGGGGGGGTTAGGGGCTCAGGATGGCATGACCTAGTGGAAAACGCTGAATTGACAGATCCCTGGCTGGCTAACTAGACGACCACATGCACAAATCGAGTAGTAGAGCTGCTCGACATGAGAAGGTAGTTGAGTAGAGAGGATCAACGTGCTACAGCCCTGCTACGCT